CCAGAAGAGCCAAAGCCAGCTGACCCCAAGACAGACCTGCTGTTGGCCAAGGCAGAGCCCATCAGCAATGGTGGCAGTGCCTCTGGGATTTAAGAAGGGAAAAACTGTGCACAGCATCAGCCAGAGAGAGGATCGAGGGTATGTGAGAGAAACAGCCCTGCAGTGCCCCAGGCCATGCAGAAGGAATGAGAGGAGGTGCCCCAAGCTCTGGAGCAGGGATTCCCCTGCAGCCTGTGGGGACCCACCCACAGCCCAAAAAGATCCAGTCAGGAGCAGAGACCCACCTGCAGCCCACGGAGGGGCCCATGTGAGAGCAGAGGAAGCGTGTGAGGACCCTCCCCTTGAGAAGGAAGCAGTGGCAGAGACATGCTGTGGTGAATTGATCCCATGCCCTGTCCCACTGCACTGCTGGGGGGGAGGAGGGAGAGAACTGGGGAGTGAAGCTAAGCTGGGGAGGACAGGAGGGTTGGTGAGCATGTGGTTTTATGATTTGGTTTTATTTCTCATTGCCCTACTTTGACTTGATTGGTAATAAGTTAAAGTAATTTCCCAAAATTGAGTCTGTTTTGCCCATGACAGTAACTGGTGAGTAAGCTCTCCCTGTCCTTGTCCCAATCCATGAGTGTATCATTATACTTTCTCTTCCCTGCCCAGCTGAGGGGGAGAGTGATGGGGCAGCTTTGATGGGCCCCTGGTATCCAGCCAGGGTCAGCCCAGGGAGCTTTCCAGGCAGTGCCAGGTGAGTTTTCTCCCTTCCTATCGCCCCAGCCCCTAACTGGACACTGAACTCAGAGGAGATCCCAGTACTAACAGGCAGGGAATGGGGCATAGAGCCAGAGCAGGTTCCTTGCAGGCTCTGTGTCCATTGCAGAGGGCCACAACAGCCCCTTTTGTATGGCAGCTGCTCACTGCAGAGCAGCCTTGCCTTGGCAAAGGTTCAGTGTTTGCCCAGTGCTCCATTCTCTTGGTGAAGAGGGTTAAGTGCCTCACGTTCAGTGCTTTGTGCTTTTATCTGAGCAATAACAAATAAACTTCTTTCCTAGGGGTGGGCTTTAATAGAGCTGCTCATCGACCTTGATCAGCTGTGTGCTCACTGACCATGACACTGCTGAGTGCTTTTGCTGTTAATAGACCTGTCAGATCACTTGGCTTCTCGGCTTCACCAGGCTCTTGGCTTTGGTGGCTTCACATGCTGTAAATGAACTGGGAAAGGGCTGAGTAGTAACACTATTATGAATATATTGGCACACATCTCAAACACCATATGCTGTCTACTTGTCCCGTACTAAAAGGGTAAAAAAGAAATTATCAGTTGTGAAAGATGACCAGGGTCTGCTGTGCTGCAGATGGTGCAGTGCAGATAGACAGCAAACTGATATTACTTGTTTCTTACAATAGAAGCTAGGAAGCACCAGAAGAAGTAATTGGGCATCTGGTCTTAATGAAACAGAATAAATTACTTTTCACAATGCACATAATTACACAGCAAAACTCTTGACTTCACAATACCCTGTGATAATAGAAAGTATAAATGTCTGTTCTTGGGCAGTACTGAATTCCCCAAATCCAATTATGCAGCAGATGGTAAAAAGATGCCATCACAGGACATATAAACAAAGACAAAAGGAGGATCAGGAGTTATTAATGATTAGTGCATATTAATGATTAGGAGATTGACTTTCCCCATTTAATGAAGTTCATGAAGTGTTGATGAAGTGCTGATATCCACAGACTGGTGACAGGTCTGGTCCTGTTCCTTGGCTGAGGACAATAGGGCATTTCCCTGCAGCAGCTTTATAGAAAATGTCTGTGCTTTGCTCTCCATTATTATTATCCTCAAAGGGAATCAGTGTGTTCATTCCCACTTCCATGGGAGAGGAATGGAGGACACAGCAGCCAGCACACAGACTTGACGAAGGGGATGGGAATGAACCCTCACAGCATCTTTGGACATTTCCTTTCAGTGAACATGGAGACACAGCTAACACGAAGCAGCAGCCAGGCAGCCCTGGAGAGAGGACACGGTGGACAGGCATGGGGCTGGCTGGGAGACAGGGTCTGGGGGTGCAGGGGCAGGTCTGGCATCCACACACCCTGCCCTGCCCTCCTCCAGCCCAGGCAGGCACTGTCTGAGGGGCAATGCCCAGCAGGACAAGGCCACCTGAGTCACAGCCACAGCTGCCAGCGGTTTCCAGAGGCACAGCTGGGTCACAACTGGCCATGGGAGGCTGTGGAGCAGGAAAAAGGAGCAGCCAGAATGTGGGGGAAAGAATTGCAGGAGTGTTGTGTCCCAGGAGGGGAACAGTCACAGAGCTCCAGGACCCCCAGATCAGGACCCAGCTATTGCAGTCACGTCATGCTTTCCTAAATCTGTGAATGCTCACCTCACACCAGTTAGCAGCTAACTAAAGCTTAGATTAGGGACACAAAACCCACACATCCCTTGTGGGTTTCATTTAATCAATAACATTTATACAGTACCACGTATGGGGCAGGTTCTGCACAGGCAGAATCAATCCAAACCTTTCCCAGTGCTGGGAGCTCTTGCTGGTGTGTTCCTCTGTGGGCAGAGGAAGGTGATAGCAGGGCCATGTGATGCACGTACAGGAGGCTCCTGCATCATGGGCAGGACGTTCTCCTGCTGCCAGCACCACCCCCAGAACCTCGGATTTGCTGGGGCAGCTTGGGACTCCAGAGCCCACAGGCCAGGCTATAGAGGTGAGGCTGAGATCGCGAGGCTGCTGCTGGATTTCCCCACTGAATCCTAAGTACAAGGCACTGCAAGGCATATAATACAATTTAGATGCATTAGTTCCTGATTTGTGATGGCAAATTGAATTTTGCCTGGCCAAAATCCCAAATACTCAAGTGATAATTAAATGTGTGTGGAGAATTTGCACTCTCAGTATTTATTATTTATAGACTGAACCCACAAATACAAATGCCATTACTGCTCCCGAAGCACACCATGCAGCCTGTGCACAGTCACTAAATTCCCAGGATTGTCCAAGTGGCACAGCATGTTGTTTTCCATGTCCAGGACTGATCCGGAAGGTGTGTGAAGCCTGGGAATGCCAGCCAGCCAACAGTGATGCCTTGGGTCATCAGACACAAAATTCCCCAATCACAGCATAATTCTCACCCTGCACAAGCAGTGGGGCTGCACCCTGGAGCACAGGGAAAGGACACAGAGCCTGAACCACTTTTAAGTAGTTTGGGGGAAGGATGCAAAATAAACTGTCCCACAGTGCTAACGCCACCTGTTTCTGCTATCAAAAGAAAAAAAAAAGTAGTATTGCTCACTGATACCTAACACTGACAGCACTGAGCTTTTCAAATAACGTGTCTGAGCACTCCTGTGCAGGCCAGGGCAGTGCTGGGCAAGCCAGGGATCCTTGCCTGGTGGAGGCTATGGAGCAGTCAGCATTAACACCACAGCTAGCTCTGCAATAACCAAGTGTTTCTCACAGCAACCAAGTGAGAAGGGACCTTGCAGGGAAGACATAACTGGCAAACTGTTCCTGTAAAACCACGTGCAGTCACAGTTTTACAGTTGCCAGCTCTACCCTTGGCTTTCCTGAAGTTCCTTCCCCATAATGCAGACAGAGGGAGAAGGAGCTTTGAAACAGGGCTCTGCTGGGAAAGCAGGATCAGGCTCACCCTCCTCCTCACCACTGTGGACTGCAGCACCAATGAAGCTCAGCACAGGAAAGAGGCAGTCCTGATCTGCCAAGAATATCTGAAAAGCAGCATTGAACAACCCAGATGGGACCATTTTGATCACCTCACCTGCTATGCAGCTGCAGATAACGTAAATTCTGACAAGCTTCAGTTTTCACTTGGCTGGAACTTGCCTTTTGCACACAGGCACTGCAGATTAAATCCTTCACATGGCAACATCACTGCCCTGATCTTCCACAGGTCTCCCCAAAGCACAGACGAATTCTCCTGTAACTAGAAAAGGCCTTTTCAAGTGACCAGGTAAAGACTTTTAGGGGCCCTAGGGCACAGAACAACGGATGTATGTGCCCATGTCTGCACACATGCCCGCACTGATGTACTTCTGTTGTGGGCTGATCTCATCCAGGGCATGGTCTAAGCTGCCATTGGGGTCCAGCTATGCTACACAGCAGGACAATGCAGGCTGCAGCCAAGGACATCAGCTGGACAGAGAGGAGCCCCAGCAGTTCCCAAGTCTGCCCAAAACCACAGCTTGGCTGAGGCACCTTAACAGCCCTTGGAACCATTGATTCCATCTTGGCTTGACTCCTCCTTCCAGTCTGCATTGCTCACAGAAAGTAGTAGGTTACTGCTGCAAGGTAATGGAGGATGATTTGGGTTCATTTCCTTATTTCTCTCCTGCTTCATTAGGCACACCCAGCGCTGCCTTTCCTGGGGATGGGGCAGACCCCATGCCTGTGTCCTCAGGCACACGGAGAGGAGCACCCCGGAGGGTCAGAGCGCCCGCAGGTGCAGAGGAGCTGCGGGAGAGTGCCGGGGCACCAGCCCGACTGTCGGCATCTGCCGGTGACCAGCAGCGGCGACACCGGTGCCGCTCGCTGCCCACGCCAGGACACGCGTGTTGTGTGCCCGCTGTGGAGCCTCCCGTGCCGGGGGTCACCGGCAGTACAGCACGGAAGGAGCTGGCACTGGGGATGCTGGCGGTGCAGCACGGGGAGAGCGGACGCTCGGGGCTGCCGGGGGTGCAGCCTGCGGCGGGGCTGCCGGGGGTTACCGGAGAACGATACCGGGAGCGGCGCCGATGGTTCCGGGGTTCCGCTGATAGGGTGGGGGCGGTACCGGCGGTGTCGGGGTACGGCTGGGGGCTGGGGGCGGTGCCGGCCGCTCCGGGGCACGGCTGGGAGGCGGCGCCGGAGCCGCCGCGGTGCCGGAGCCGCTGCGGTGCCGCTCGGGGGCGGGCCGGGCCCGGCGGCCGTTCCGCCCCCCCCGCGCTGCGGCCGGGGCTCGGCCCCGCTCCGTCCCGCGGTGCAGGGAGCCGGGCCGGTGCCAGGGCCGCGCCCGGCCGGGCCGCAGCCCCCGCCGCCATGGCCCGAGTCTCGGCGATGATCAGCCCGGTGCTGGTGCTCTTCGGCTGCGACCTGTGTTTCGTGCGAGCCAGTAAGTGCGGCCGGGCCGGGAGGGCACCGGGGCTGCGCGTCCCGCCGGGCCGGGACACCCTGCCGGACACCCCGGGGGCTGCGGTCCTCGCCAGACACCCCCGCCGGCTTCGCTGCATTCCCGGCGTGGCCTTTGCCGCCATCCCCGAGGACTCCTCGGGCACCCCCGGGGCGCCGCGGCCTCCGAGTCCCCTCCCCGGGGCACGGCTGCTGCCGCGCTGCCCTTCCCGGGGCTCCCGCCGCGGGTGGAACGGGCGCTCTGCCCCGAGGGAGCTCCTGCCCCGGGCACGGACACTCCGGGCTGCGGCGGGCTGGGGCCGGCCGGGTGACGGGGATCCTGTCCCTTGCTGCCGGTGTTTGCTGAACATCGAGCTCAGCGTACCCGAGGTACCGCTGTCCTTGTCTCCTTTGACTCGCCGGGGTGGCCTCTGTCAGCAGCCGCTTCCTGCTGTCTGTTTGCCCCTCGACAGGTCACTGAGACATCAAAAAGAATTGCGAGTACCGGACGTGTTCTGTTACATTCTGCCGTGTTGCAAAACACGTACTGACGGATTCAGGAAGAGATGCAGTCAGGGGTGTTAAAAAGGGGCCACTTATTTTTAGATGTGCAGTCTGGTGCTTACTCCCTGCTGCAGCAGTAAGTTGGGCAAACATCTGGGTGCCCTTGAGCAGCAGCCCCAAGGGCATGGGCTGGGGGGCAGGGGTGGCCCACTCTCCGGATCACAGCAGGATGGCGAGGAGGGCACCGGTGGAGACGTGCCCCATCCCTCATCCCTCTGCAGCACCACATGTGCCAGCATCCCTCAGGAAGGGTATCTGTCCAGCCCCTTTGCTGACCCATGGAGCTGGGATGCAGGGCATATCTGGTGCCATGTCCAGCTGCCCACCACCCATCCCTCCCACTGCCCACCACCCATCCCTCCCAGTGTCCAGCCATGGGCTGCAGTGCTGCTAGCTCCTGTACACAGCCCAGCTCTTCCCACCCCTTAATCAGGCCCAGAAGGAGCATGCTGCTGTACAGACAGCATAAAACCTGTGCCAGGCCTTAAGTTAGTGACCGTGCTTTCTGTGGGGGTCCTCCTTTTGTAATATGGCTTTAATAAAAAGTGAAGCTGGATCATTTATAAGTGATGTAGAATTATTAGCAGTTAATGCATTGAGATAAACAGTGGCACACTTTTGCCAGAGAGCCCAGCAGCGTCTTGACTATATAGCCAGAATGTGTTGGCTTCAGAGAGCATGCTTTTTGGAGCCCTTGCATTCACAGACCTTTATGGCAACAGCTTTGGCACAGAATGCTCTGATCTCAGCTGCAGAACAGGCTGAACACTATTAGATGCAATGTGGGGATTATACATAAAGCTTTGTCCTTTGGAGGTCTTGTAACAACTTTGAGGTCTCATCTTGAATTTCATAGAATCCTGGAATGGTGTGGTTTGGAAGGGACTTTAAAGCCCATCTCATTCCACCCCCTTGGTATGGGCAATGATACCTTCACTACACCGAGGTGCTCCAAGCCCCATCCAGCCTGGCCTTGAGCACTTTCAGGGATCCAGGGGCAGCCACAGCTTCTCTGGACAACCCATGCTAGGACCTCACCACCCTCACAGGGAACAATTTCTTTCCCATATCCCATCTAACCTTGGCCTCTGTCAGTGAAAAACCATCCCCTTCTTGTCCTGTCACTTTGTTCAAAATCCCTCTCCAGTTCTCTTGGAGCCCCTTTAGGCACTGGAAAGTGCTCCAATATCTTACCAGAGCATTCTCTTCGGGGTGAAAAACCTCAGTTCTCCCAATCTCTCTCCAGAGCGGAGGTGATTTGGATTAGACATTGCTCTGTGTATCTAGGGTGAACTTCCCACGTTTTTTCTGAGGCTTCTTGTCTTGTCTCTTCCTGACGGATGTGCAAATCCCATGTGCTCAGAAGTGTATTTTCTGCAGTTCATTCAGCATCAAACTGATCAAGGCACACTGGTGGTTCTAATGCAGAGCTGTAGCCTGGACACCAGGTCTCCTGTCACACAGGCCCAGGGCTGCTGGCCTGGGTGTGCACCAGGTGTGCTCGGGGTGTGTGGGGTGTGGTGCATTGACAAGCCACGTGCGTGGTGGCTCCGCTATGTCCCTGTGTCCTCTCACCCTTCTGCTGCCAGTGAGTGACAGTCCCTGCACAGGGCCTGTGCAAACTCTGGCTAAATACAGCTGGAGCACTTGTCACACCCGTGTGGACTCAGCAGAATGGCTTGTGGATTGGTGCAGTGCCTTTGTTCTCAAATCATCAAGTGACTCAGTCCCAGGGCAGCAGCCCCAGTCTGAAAACGTCAGCTGGGACAGGCTGAGCACCTCACAGAAGCCTAGAAAATTCTTGAGTAGAGCTGGACAGCTGCTACAAACTCTATGTCGCAGAGATGTCAGACCCCATCTTTAATTTCCTCACGTACGCTTAGAGGTTGGTAGTCAAACTGTCCCCATCACGCATGTTCAGGACTTTTAAAATTTGTTAGATGTAAAAAAAAACCCCCACCTAATTCATTACTATGGATGTATCCTGTGAAGCACAATGTCCTGTTCTTGTCCTGAGGCCAGCTGGCAGGGTCTGGTCATACCCATGGTATTAAACTCACGAGTTCCATAGAGGGAGGCACGTCAGTGCTACTTGTGAGGAATGGTTTTCTGGCTTGTCCTAGCTTCCAAGCCATGCCCAGGAGTGGTTTGGGCACATACTGGCTGGTGCAGACCAAATCAGATCTTGGACCAATCTCCACCACGGGATTCTTGGGCTGTTCTGACCCCATTGTGTCTGCTAGCACAAACCTAGCTAGCAACCTAACTAGTGGTAACCTGGGACAAGTGTTATGCTTGCAGAGAAGCAGAAATGTGCAGCCCCCCATAGAGCCCCCCTTGGAATGCCTGTGTCTGGGACAGGCCAGGCAGGGGGCAGCTGTTTGCAGGCTGACAGGGTGCTGCCTGAACTCGGCTGTGGGCTGAGCAGCTGCCCTGACCCCAGCCTGACCCCAAAATCCATACAGTGATGGAAAATGGCCCAGTGGGAAAGAACCTGGGGGTGCTGGTTGACAGCAGTTAAACATGATCTGGCCAAGAAAGCCAAGAGCATCCTGGCTTGTGGCAGCAATAGTGTGGCAGCAGGAGCAGGGCAGTGATTTCCCCCCTGTGCTGGACACTGCTGAGGCACCTCAAATCCTGGCCACTCACATCAAGAAAGACATTGAGGGGCTGGAGCGTGTCCAGGGAGGGGAACAGAGCTGGGGAAGGGACTGAAGCACAAGTCTCATGGGTGGCTGAGGGAGCTGGGGGAACTCAAACTGGATAAAAGGAAGCTCAAGGGGGGACCTTCTCATTCTCTGCAACTCCTTGACAGGATGGTGGAGACAGGGGGGAGGATAGGCTGTGCTTCCAGAGAACAGGGACAAGGGGAAATGGCCTCAAGCTGTGCCAGGGCAGGTTCAGGTTGGATATTGGGAACAATTCCTTCACTGAAAGAGTGGTTAAGCCCTGGACAGGCTGCCCAGGACAGTGGTGGATTCATCACCCCTGGAAATGTTCAAGAAATGACTGGATGTGACACTTTGCAATACGGTTTAGTGGGCATGGGGTTATGCAGTCAAAGGTTGGAGTTGATGATCTTGGAGGTCTTTTCCAACCACAGTGATTCTCTAATTTAATCTACAGGAAGCTCAACTCCTGTGTTGACAGAGTACCTACACCCAGGCAATGGACAAGGCTGGGTCTGCAGCTTTGTTCAGCCTGTTCTGCTGTTGGCAGACAAGACTTAGAGATTCCCTCCCTCTCATAGGTTAGTGATGAAGCGGATCCCCATAGGAAAACTCTATACAGACACACTCTTTGTGGGATAAAGAATGTTTGAGTGTATCTTTGAATCCTTTCCAGTTTTCCAGACTCGTTTTCTGAAGGAGAAAATCAGAACACTGTGGTGTCGTTATCTTTGGCAACCCTCTCTTCTGGTGGTGTGTCAAACTTCAGGAGACACACTCAGTCCCAAGGTTTCTCTTAGAACATGTTTTCTGGGCTGTCCTCTCTGTTTTAATTTCCCCTGGCAGACCACAACCCTTAATTTCTCAGAGTGGGAACCAAGCCTTCCTCTGGTTTGATCCAAAGCTGGGTATATTCAGATGTGAATGAATGCCCTTAAACAGGTGGCCTGCAAAAATTGTCTTTTTGCAGTCACTCTAACTGGGGTTGTTGCTGGTGTCACAGTTGTCCTTTCTCTTGTTCTCAGGTGCCCCCTGGAACTCTTTTTCTATATAAATCACAGCACTGACCCTGTAGCCATAGTGCTATGCAGGCAGTTGTAGAAGGGCACTGACTTGTGTGTGGGGAGTTGGAACACACAGACAGCAGCTTCAGTGTCTTTCATGTGCTCCTGTGTCAAACTTCCAGACAAAACTTGGCTTTGTATGCAGGACTGTGTGGGATCCTGTTGTGCTCTCAGTGCTGTGAAATCTCAAAGTGGCAGTGGTGCAGACCATGGGTCAGTCAGGTCAGCTTGCCATAGAACAGCAATGGTCAAGCATTGCTGCCAGCTTTGCAGCCAATGGCACTTCACTGCTGGTGATGCCTAAGATTATTGGGGTTTTATATTTTTCATGTGTTTGTGGCTATGTAGATTGTTAATGCATGGTTGTAGCTTCTAGTACTTTTCCTATCTTTCTTCCCCACATTTAAGAACAATAAGCTAACCTTATAAATACATTCCTAAAAATATTGTTTAGTCTTATTCCAAGAAAAGAGATAGCTACAAGGACATTGTCTTTTTCAACCAGAATCTGGACCAGGCATAACAAAAGTGGGGCAAGAGAAACTTCTGGACTCCTTCCAGTGGGGCAGGACCCCAGGAATTACTACCTAACCAACTAACCTTTTAATTAGGCAGTATATGATAAGTATACTAATTGACTAACCTTATAAAAATCATAGCATTACTGTACCACATGCGATTTTCACAACATTGTGTACCTGAAAGCCTTCAAGTAAAGGTTTGCCTATATATGCACTCTTAATGTATTTGGGAAGATCTATTTTCCAGGCATCACTGGGACAGCCAGCTCTGCCTTTGGCATTGGCTTTATCCCATGCCCTGGAGCAAGGAGTAATTCCGGGCAGAGGAGATGCCTAGATTGAGTGTAGAGTTGTCTATTCCACAATGCCCCATTTTTCTGTCACAATCAATCTATCATCACTGTGTCTGGGCTGCTTCCTACGCAGTTCTGGGTGGTGTGCCAGGCATTTGTGACTTCCCATCTATGGGACAGCCCCAGAGCTCTGCACCTGCACACTCCTCCTGCACAGAGTGGGCAGCTGCATGCCAGCCCAGGAAGCACCGTGCTGTGCATGTGTTGCTTCTGGCAGGGCTCAGGCTTCCCTATCTGCTGTGCCACTCATCTCCTGGGGCTGGATTCACCAGGGAAGGTGCTCCCTGTAGCCCTAGCCAACGTGCTGCCATTGGCAGGTGTTGGAGAGGCCCCAGGGTGATGTGCAGGGCTGAGTGCCTGTTCTGAGACATCTTCTTTTGCTTCTTTCTCGTGCCTCACCACGGTCCATGCCTGGCTCACCCAGACAGGCCACCGTCCCCTGTCAACGTGACTGTGACGCAGCTGAAGGCGAACTCTGCCACAGTGTCCTGGGATGTACCAGAAGGAGATGTGGTCATCGGCTATGCCATCCTACAGCAGGTATCCAGCATCTGTCCCAGGGGACTGGGGACACTGATTACCAGCATGCTCCTATGTCAGTCCTTTTGCCACACTCGGGGGCTCCTCTGGCATCTGCCCGAGGACATCTCTGCTGCTGAGCAGCCCTTGCCAGGGTGCCCCACGTGAGCCATCCATCCTGGTGGAAGGCAGAAGACTGTGGGCTGCATTGGGTATAGTCCCTCCAATAGTTTCCCTGGGATTTCTCTAGGTAAGGATGGTGCTTTGGCCATGACATAACCCTTCTTTGCCTTGCTCCACCTATGCAGCCCTGGGTGATGGTGGCTTCTCCAGGGAGGTGCCTGGCTCTCAGGCCATGCAGGCATGCTGAATAGGCAGTGCTGGCCAGTCTGGCCCACCCTGGGGTGGGTGGTTGCCTGGGAAGGGAGGAGTGAGGCACAGTCCTGCAGCTGGGGGCCTGTGCCTGGTGCAGCTGGCAGCAGCCTCCCGGGGGTGACAGCTCTTCCTTCTGGCAGAGGCAGGATGGGCAGATGCAGCGCTTCATCCGGGAGGTGAACACCACCAACCGTGCCTGTGTGCTGTGGGACCTGGCAGAGGATGCTGACTACATCATCCAGGTGCAGAGCATTGGCCTGTATGGGGAGAGCCAGGCTAGCAAGCGTGTCCACTTCCGCACCCTGAAGGAGACCGACCGCCTGCCTTCCAACAGCTCCAACCAAGGTGAGTCACCTCCTTCCAGCCTGACCAGGTGCTGCTGCTGGGGCCACACCTGGAGGCCTGTACAGCAGATGGGCAGGGATTCTGCAACCAGTGAGGAAGGTGCTGCACTGAGCAGCAGGCTCCTGGGACACGCAGGGCTGTACAGGCTGCTGTCGTGTCCACTAGGTGTCCATGATAATGTCCCCAAGCCATGGTTTGCAGCCCTCCTATCTCAGGTCTTTGCACCTATTCAGCTGGGCAGACTGGCCAGGACAGCTGCTGGGGCCTGCCCAGCTGCTGCCTGTAGGAAGCCAGTACTGAACAGACACTCAGATCTCCCAGTCTGCAGGCTACCCAAGGACAAATGACAGAGCACCGTGGTCTCCTTTGCTACTCATGCCTGTGTTGCCTTGGGGTTGCCTAAATGCTGGTCCATGAGAGAGAATCAGGAATCCAAGAGAGATGATGCCCCATAGAGGGCATGGCAGTCTGTCTCCAGCACTAACCATGAGAGGGGTTCTGAGTATGGCAGGACAAGCAGATGGCTTTCCTCAGAACTTTTGTGTTAAACTGACCTGACCTGCCCTGCTTGCTGTGTAGAGAGAGACCTTAGTGCATTGCACAGTCCCTACATGAACCTAAACAAGCCCTTGGAATCCCTGACTGCCTTTGTAGCAAGGATGGTTTATCTGACCCAGGAAGGCCACAGGATGCATGTCTTCTCCCCATACAGGATGTCATCCCACACCCTTCCTTGTTTGGGGGAGGTGGGCTTCTCTGCTTTGGGGTTTCTCAAATCCCACTCCAGTGGGAGGGTATCTGCTGCCAGCCCTGCTTGGGGTCTCTTCTCTGCAGGTGACATCACCATGGAAGGGCTGGACAAAGACCGGCAGCTGCAGACAGGCGAGATTATTATCATTGTGGCTGTGCTGCTGATGTGGGCAGGTGAGTGCCACAAGCAGTGCTCTGGCGGGCTGAGGCAAAGTTACAATCCATGGTTCACAAAGAAGATGTGGCTCAAGAGAGTGCAGAGGCACATTGCTGAAGATCTGGCACCCTTCCTCATCAGTCCCTTGAGAATCTGTAGGTGCTGGAGCCAGTGGGGTAAAAGAAGCAACCACAGGCACTGCTCAGCAGTAATGGCCTGGAGTATGTTAAAGAGCAGGAGACAGAATGGGACCTGGAATTACAGGGTGGGAGCATCCCAGCTGACAGTGACCTTTGAGTTGCTTGGGCCTTAGATGTTGTGACTGAGAACAGTACTGCACTAGCTGGTGGAGGCTGTGCCTCAGTCTGCTAAAGCTGCAGAGTGGGTGGTTTGCTCTAGTATAGCACGAGAGCCAGTGCAGGCAGCGGGCTGCCCTGGGAGCATGGGAGCCTAGGAGGTAAGTCAGCTCCTGACTTGTCACATATAGCTGCTGTGAATGGGAAGTCATTGATCCCCTGCTCCCTCCCCAGTAAATGTGGATTTTGTAGTGGCATCTTGCACAAATTTATCTTTGCCCTGGCCTTGACACTTTCCTAGGGCACTAGGAAAAAAATGCAAGATGACTGCTGGTAGTTTACACCTGGCCCAGGTTGATGTGTCAGGATGCCAGCTGGGAGGAGTCAGGCCTGGTCTGTGTGTGCCTGTGTGTTACCACGCACACACTGGGGGTTGAGTGAGTCCAGCATGGTCACCCCTGGGGGCATTGCTCCAGACTCCTGTGCCCAGGTTCCCAGGTGTGGGACATGTTGCATGGGATGCATGCTGTGAAAGCATTACAGAGGGACTGACTGCGCAGCCAATGTGCATAGACAAGGGCTGGCTTTTGTGAGGGTCACAAGCACCAGCTCAGTAACTTTAGTGCCTTGCTGGAGGCACTCCAAAACCCACACAGCTGCCCACTGACCTCACTGTCCCTGTTTGAGTGCCTCAGCATCTGCCTTTGGTGAGTGCTGAGCACCTCATGTGTGGCCCAATGGCTGTAGCCACATCCGTGCCCAAGGAAGCTGGCCTGGCCACACATGCAGAGGTACCTGGGGTGGTGCAGGCTGATGCAGGTGAGGGTGTGGGTTTGCAGCACCCCAAGGAGCCCTGGGCACAACTGCCCTGCAGCTGGGATGCTGTGGGGAGGGCAGACAGGCAGGCACTGCGAGGGATCCTTCATGCAGTGTGTCTTTGGGCAGCGGTGATCGCCCTGTTCTGCAGACAGTATGATATCATCAAGGATAATGACTCCAACAACAACAAGGAGAAGACAAAGCCCTCCTCAGAGCACAGCACGCCAGAGCGGCCGAGCGGAGGGCTGCTGCGGAGCAAGGTGAGTGCGGAGGGCTGGCAGCAGGGGTGGCACGTGGCTGCCTGTCTGCTGGGGCTTTGCAGCCTGCACAGAATCTGGCTCTCTCCAGGAATGGAAACACCCCGGCTTGTGCTCTCACCCCAAAGACTGAGGACTTTTAGGGTTCAGTGAGCCCTGGTCTCTGGGGCAGTGTGTGTACCCCATGGGTGACTGCAGGAGAAACATTGGAAGAGACAACAAGGTGTAACAGCTGGGATGGCTCTTGCACTGCAGGGTGGTACCTGACCTCTGACTGTAACAGAGCCTTCATCACACCCCTCCAAGGCTGCACCTCTCCTGCACACATGGACAAATGGACATGCTAGGCAGCTGTTCTCATGGTTCCTGCACTGGTCTGTCCCTGCTCCCTTTCTGCCTGCACTGCAGCTGGCTCTGAGTCATCACCACACAAGTCATTGCAGAGCCCCTTCCTCACCCTGATGAAGTGCTGTGCCAGGCTGTGGATGGGGAGGGAGCAGTACTTTTGTCTGGCTGTTCCCTCAGCACCTGACATTTCTCCCTTTGTTACCTGCCAAAGACAGTGATTTTTAGCCCCAATGCTCTAATGGGACCATATGTTAGGGTTTTGCTTGTGCTTCACCTGCTGCCTCTGTCAAGGGTGGGAACTCCCCTCCCTGTGTTGACTGACTGCCCCACTGATTCCACATCTTGGTTTCCAGCAGATGTCAGGAGAAGAAACGTCCTGTTTGGACTTCAAATCCCCAGTTCCCCTCCTCCAGATTTTTCAGCTAGCTGATTACCCTTTGCTAGGAGATCCCTCCTCTTGGATCCCTACTCCAAACTGACCCTGCTCTGCTGAGGTCTGCTGGTCTTGATGCCTGCTGCAGGTTGAGGGGCTCTGACATCGGGTGTGATCCCAGGGGTGCAGCAAAGCAGGTTCTTAAAGCAGATTTTTCTCTCATAGAAGAAATCTCCCTCGGTCAATATCATTGAGGTGTAAGTGCAACACCAGCTCTGCCGTCTGGGATCTCGGGTGTCCTGCCAGAGCCACAGCAGGCCTTGGAAGAAGAGGCAGCACCAGGCACGCCGCCTGGAACTTAGCATGCGACGATCCACGTACCAGAACTCCCGCTTTCCTGAGGGCACCTGTCTGCGGATGTGCACGGAGCCGGCTCCCAGCCATGCATGCAGAGCGTGGACGTGTCCGTCCCACCCGGCCCTCCTCCCCTCCGGGGGAAGCATGACCTTGAGGATGGGTGGGAGGGAGCCAGGGGGAGCCGATGGGCTGAGGCACGGGCATGAGGGGAGCCCAGTCCCTGTGCACCGCCTTGGCCAAGGCCCGGGCTGCAGCTGAGGCGCTGGATGCCTGCCCGGCAGAGGGGCAGACCTTGCTCTCAGCTGCCCGTTTGGCCTTGGGGTTGCCGCAGAGAGCAGGAGCTGCTCCCCTCAGGGCCCCGGGGCTGCAGGAGCAGGGCGGTGCAGGCACTGCCCCGGCACTGCCAGGAGAGCTGTGGCCTGTAGGAGGGTTTGTCTAGGAGGCCCAGCCAGCATCGGGGATGAGTGGATTGCTGCTGGAGAACAGGGCTCCACTGTACCCTGTCATGGCTGTGCAGGGCCTTCCAATTCTCTGTCTACTGCAGAGGACAAAGACACGAAGGACGATGAGGGGCTGGTGCTGTCACAGTGCCTGGCAGCCCGCAGGGAGTGCTGGGCTGGGGGAGCGGGCACTGTCAGGGCATGGCTGTGGCTGCGCTGTGTCCCCACAAGGGCTCGGTGCTGGCACATTCAGGCTGCTTGAGGGGAGCTGCCAAGAACTTTCTGAGCAGCATGGTGCCTGTGCTGCCTGGAGGAGACAAAGTGGTGAGGCCTGCAAGGTCTCAGTTGGAGGGAATGGGGTGAAACACGGAGGCTACCTGCTGCCCTGGCTGCTGCTCTCCCTCCATGCTCTGCTCTGCAGCCTGCCATAGACAGGCTCTGCAGCCCTGGACTCAAGCATCACAGGATCCAGTGTCTTCCAGGAATAAATCTCCCAGTAAAAGCACTTTCAAGACTTTTCCTTCCAGGTGCTGCTCAGCTCCTGCTGCAGGACGAGGTGGGGAAGGGACAGGATAAGCAACTCCTGTGGCAGGGTCTTTTCAATAAAAGCATCCTGGCTCAAAGGCAGCATCAGAGCTTCAGGTCTCCGTGTGTGTCCATGCATGCATGCATGTACAAGTTCTTGAATGCGCGTGTCCTAGCCCATAGGAGATCTGCTCCTGCATGCTGTGCAAGAGCTGGAGGTCCTCCATGGTCACCTCGCACCCCCCTGGCCATCGAGGGAGAGCTGCTGCTGCTGCTGCTGCTGCAGGCTGGGCCCTGTGGTGCTGCTGGAGAAGCTGCAGGCTGTCCCACTGAGGGTGACATCGTGGCTGCTTCCCTGCAGAGAGCAGACACATCCCAGCAGCAGGGCCGAGAAGGGGGATGGGGTCTGACCCCCTCAGGCTGCTGGCCGGAGGGGCCAGGGCTGCTCCCTGCTTGGGTACCTGAGCACCAACAGCACCATGGCAGTGGGATGCAGCTGCTACTGCACTGTGACCTGGGCTGTAGGGAGCATGGCCACAGCTCTGGTGACATGAACACCTTGTTTTGCCTGCTAGCTTTTTTTAAGGAGGTACATTAGAAAAACTAGGGCTGTCAGGGAAATACAAGAGTTTTAACAATGTTCTAGTGCCCTGGAAAATGTTTAAAAGTTCTGTCTTGGAAAGTCATGGCAGACATGCCTGCTATCATGAGATTTTTTAGCCAGGCCAGAGGCACACACAAAGAATCACAAAGGGTCAGACTGTGTAGCAGAGGTGAGGAACTAGAGCAGGCACAAAAAACCGGTCAAAATGCAGAGGTTTTGACCAAATAAAAAAAGGAACACAAGTCTGACATTAAAAGTAAAATCAGGGTGTGTTGTTGAGGAAAAGGCTCTTTCCCTCTAAAAAACCCAAAAACCAAAAAACAAACAAACAAAAAACCAACAAAAAACCCCCAAACCAAAGCAAACCCCAACTCACCACTTCTCAGACAATGGCTGTGCAGGAGGGCAGGGAAGTGCAGAAAGGAGTGCTGGAAGCTGAGGGCCTGACAATGACCTGCTCACCCTAACAAGTTACATGTTGCTCTGTACTCCCAAGTGAGGGAGAAAAGCCATGAAACCACATTCAATATGCAAAACCTCAAGTGAAAAAACCATGCACAGTTCCCGAGTGATCCATGGCACCCCAGACCTCCCCAGTGCCTATGGCACTTTCTGGGAGCCTGGCCCTGCCACCCCAGCTGCAGCCAGCCCTCAGTGCCCAGCTGGGCTGAGCTCTCAGTGCCACCAGCCTGAGAAGGGCAGCTGTGCAGAGATGTGACAGGAACACAGCAGTGAGGGGCTTGGCCAGAACACAGTTGCAAGCTGTCACTTGCCAAAGAAACCAGACGTGCTGCAGCCTCCCCTGTGCCATCTGGGAAGGAAACCAAGTGCATGGCTTGCCTCTGTAGAGCACAGCTGGGGTGCAGCAGGGCAGAGACACTTCAGAGCAGCTGGCACACAAGGGCTTGTGCCTGCCTTGAGCTCAGTGTGGTCAGCATCAACTCCTGTCAGTGCAGGTGACATTCACAGGTGCTCAAGACACCAGTGCAGCACAGCCTGAACCTGCTCTTCCCAAGTCACAAAGGCACCCTGGGCCCTGGCAGCCCTCAGTGCAAGGAGGAACTGCTCCCTCATGGCTTGCAGCCAAGGAAGATGTGGGAGTTCCAGGCTCCATGAGCTTGGGGCACAGCAACCCTCACCACAGGCAGTGCAGGAGACACAGTGCCCTGCATGCTTATGCATGGTGCCTATCCAGCACTCAAACCCAAATGACAATAGTAAAAAACTCAGTTTATTTCTCTCTAAAGGCAGAGCTTTCCTTTAAAAACCAGGTCATTTCACTTGTGAGAGGGTGTGGGGCTGAACTGCAAGGGAAAGGCCTTCATCACGCACTGCTCCAGGCCAAGAGCTGTTGCTCCCTGAGGGTGGACACTGCCTGCATCAGGCAGGCTCAGGGCATGCAGGATGGCCTGCACGGCCTGGCAGTGAGGAGAGCGAGGAGCACGGGTTCCCTGCCCCAGCTGCATCAGGCAGGCTCAGGGCATGCAGGATGGCTTGCATGGCCTGGCAGTGAGGAGAGCGAGGAGCACGGGTCCCCGCCCCAGCTGGGAGCAGCTGCAGCTCGAGGCGGTTCATGCAGGTGGCGCAGGACAAGGAGCAGGTGCTGCAGCCTACATGGCAGCAGTGCCAGCAGCCCCCGTGCCAGCAGGGCGGTGCCAGGGCGACGGCAGGCACTGGCTGGCCCAGGTGCAGGCACAGGGTGAATCCTGAGTGGCTGGTCCGTCGTTGCAGAGATTTGGCTTAGCCCAGGGCAGCACTTGGGCCAGCAGTCCTGGTGCCGGTGCTGGGGAAGTCTGCAGCCCCTCCCAGCCCCGTCCAGCTGTCCGGGGGTGGCCCCAGGTGGCAGCACAGCAGCTGTGCTGTAGGAGAGCTTGATGGGGGCACAAGAGGTATTAATCCTGAAAAGGGAGAGAAAGGAAGACATGGACCATAAGGTGTACAGCTGGGAATGCAGCACAGCCTGCAAAGGGAAGCAGATGTTCCCAGGTGAGCATCAGCCCCACCTTGCCTTACAGAGGACATGCTGGGGGACAAGCCAATGCAGCACTGAAGAAACTTACCTGCTGGGCTGTGGAGTCCCCTCCCCAGCTCCTCCATGCTGCTTTGGAAGAGAACACAGCATCCATCATACCCTAAGCATGGCCTCCTGAGAGACACGGCATGCTCATGGCCCTGGCATGGCAGGAATGGCACAGCAGCAGCAGGCACTGGGGGTGCAGAAGGCCCTAAGCCCCCTTCCTACCAAACTCTCCTCCCAGGCCACTTGTCCTGAGATTGCAAAGCCATATCTCCTTCCCATCAGGAGCTCCATGTCCAAAGGGCTGGTGTTTCATTGGGCTACACATAGACCTCCAGCCTGTGCACACACTGGTTCAAGCCAAGCTCAGACATGCCAGACCTAGCTGGGTGCTCACTGCCATGTGCATGGAGAACAGCCATGATGGAATGAGCCTCACAGGCCCAACACCCCCACGTCTGCAGACCTGCAGGTTAATCCTCTGCTGCTGGACTGTTCCATCAGCTCCTCCCCAGCACAGCACACACCCCATCAAGCTCAGCCCACAGCCCCAGGCCATGCAGAAGTCAGCATGACCCGGCCTCCATCCTGGTCCAATCCCCAGGGAAATCAGTGAGAGAAGAGGGACAGCTGAGTCCCATGTGAGAGACATGTCTGGACAGGCTGGCCTCAGCAAAGACTGGCAGAAACAGAGTAAGAAACATCTCTGGGTGCATCCTAGGGGTCAGCATCTGTACCCCAAATCTCTGCTGCAAAAGCTGGACTGCATGGTCTGTTCCTCCAGCACTCAACCCTCTGTTCACTCGAGCTCTCAGCAGATAGAAGCAGAGAAATACCAGGAAGCTTCTCCCTTGGTTCCATGCAGCTCTCCTCCATGATCCCACCATGCCCACAGCCCGAGCAGCTCCCCTTGCACAGGGTACGGAGAAGGAGACAAGACAGGCTTCATCAGAGAGATCCCTGAATACAAGCAGCAGCTCACCACCTACCCAGACAAGGTTTCACTGACATTATCATCTTCCTCCTCCTCCTCCTCCTCCTGGCAAGCAAACAAACAAAAACCCACCATGACATCTCATTGCATGGGCAGGTCTCTGCCAGGAGCGAGGCTGGGCCCCTGCACAAGACAGTCACTACCCAGGCACAGTACAAAGGTTTCCCACAAGCAATGAGGGGAAGACTGGAGTGCTGGGTTGCCAGAACCCTCTGGGCTTGGGCACTCAAGGACAGACACGCCATAGCTCATCCCACATGCCCTCCAGGTGCAAAGCCCCAAACACAAGCTGTGAGCATGGACCATGCTGACAGAGCTGCTGATACAGTGCATCTCTGCCCAGGGACAGTGGTGGGTGGGCACACCCTGCAGCTGGAGGGGCAGGCAGAGACCACCAGGAGCAGGCTGTGCACAGGTACAACCCCAAGCACTGCCAGGCTAGACCCACACTGGAAGCATGAGGCCAAGGACCAAGCATCCAGAAGTTCCCAGACAGGGATGTAGTGAGACCAGTATGACAATGCTCTGAGTGCTGTGGCCATGCAGGAGATGCAGGGCGGATGGGCTGGGCTGAGCCTTAAGCTCAGGCTGGCAGGATGATGATCCAAGGGTCCTCTCCTTCAGAGGCAGCTCTCATCCCAGCCATGAAACCAAGTGTGCAGCCCAGGTCCCAGGTCCCTGGTCCCTGTGTGACAGGGCCAGCAGAGCAGGGCTGAGGCTGCAGCAGTGCTGGGCCTGACAGCAGAGCTCCTGGAGCACAGACACCAACCAAGGAACTGCACCTGCTGTGTGAGCCACACAGCACAGTGCACCTCCTCACATCAGGCTGCCACGTGCGACGGGGGCTGTGCAGGTATCAGCAGGGCTCTGGGAGGGCAGGAGCAGGGAGCTGCAGAGGGGTCACTCTGTCCCTGCCCTAATCCAGACAGCCCTCAGCATGGGCCTGGCTTGCACATACTGTACCCCAAAGTGGTGTGTGAAGGGAGCTCTCCCTGCAGGGGCTGGCTCACGGGCTCTGCCGGCCTCACTGCTCTCCAAGACACATGAAGGGTGAAGGGGCTGATCCTGCCTAGAGCCTGGCACGGGGCAAAAGCAGCAGAGTTAGTGCCTGCAACCTGCAGAAAACCCAGCTGGGAATGTACAGGCAAGACTGAGGGTGAGGAACAGGGAATCCCTGCTGTGCTGGCAGGAGGATGCAAACAAAGGTGAGGGGTCACTGCTCAGGCCAGGTACCAGCAGCCCTGAGCTGGGCTACAGCTCAGGCAATGCACAGCAGTTCAGCATAGAGAGCAGCTACAGCTCCCACCCCAGCTGAAGATGGAGTGGCAGAGAACACAGCCATAGGGACAACATTCTCCCTGCCTGGTGTGTTTCACCAGAGAGACACTGATTCCAGAGCTATGCAGTGAGATACATCTGAGAAATTCCTCCTACCTGCATGTGTTGCTTCCCAGAGATCCAGTGCCATCTGAAAGGCCTGGGCCACAGTCAGAGTCACAGCCTGGGCCTGTGTACATGAAAGAGAGGGAATGCCTGCTTCCACCTGGGCCCTCAATGCAGGATAACATTCAGATGGAAGGCCAGAGCTCAGCTCTGTGTCTGTCTGCCCCTGGGGGCCAGCCACCCCCAGGAGCAGACCCTCAGGATCTGGGGCAGGAAAGCCCCCTTTCTCACTCCCTGCCTGTGCAGCACATGAGCACACCTGATCCCTGGCTCCAAACCCAGCTGAGGCTCGCACAGGTAACGGCCTTTTCTTGCTGAAGGGGAAGAAAGCAGGACCTTGCTCCCACCCATACCTCATGGAGCCAAGAGCAGAAGGTAAGTGCTTACAATCTTCTTCTTGGGTGAGAGGAAGGCATGGCACTCCAGTGCCCCGCTCTCCTGGCTCTGAGCAACATAAGCAAAGACTTTGTTCTGCAGCTTGTCTGTTGTGCAGTAGGAGATCCTGTGGGCAGAGAGGAGTCGTCAGGACAATCCAGGATGCTGGCATGGCACTTCTGCTGCACTCCCAGGACATCAGCAAGCACTGCTGACAACCTGAGGCTTTCACCGGCCCAAGCTGACCAGGCAGCCCAAACCCCCAGCAAGGGCCAGAGGCTGCCTGGTACCTGCAGCAGGTAAGAGATCACTGCATCCACAGGCACTCCCTCCTGTGCCATCCCAGAGTGCCCTGTAGTTTTCTGATGGCCAGCTCAACCCAGTGAGTGAATTCAAGCCCTGGGACAAGAGGAGCACAGAAGGGTGGGCAATTGCCTCCAAGGACACAGCTGGAGGCCAGACAGAGAAATGTCCTGTCTCTGCTTCCCATTTAGCCACCAGACTGCACACTTACTGCCCCTCACACCCAACCCACAGACACCCAACCCAGCCAAAGGACAAGTGGCAGCAGGAGAAATCAACATCAGTTCTCACAGCAACTGCCTTTAGCCTTTCTAATAAGCTGCAGCCAGAAGGATGGTCCCATGGCAGTGGAGGCAGACACGCAGTCCTGTCCTAACTGTGGGGCTTTCCAATCACAAGCCTCAAAATCCTGCTGAATGCCAGAATAGAGAGGCAGGGCACAGGGAGATGATGGATGGGCTGATGAACTCAAGACCACCCAGGACCCTGCCTACACTCAGCCTCAGGCAGTGCTGGGAGCACAGCAGAGAGAGGGCACAGGCCTCAGGGAGCCAAGGAAAGACCTAAGCTTGAAGGTACTGCTGACAGAAGGCCCAGCCCTCCCTGGCTGCTCAAATTCCCATCAGTCTTCAGCTGGCTGCTGGGGAACACCCAGCCCATACCTGTGACATGCCCACCTGTAGATGGAGATGTTCTTCACCATCTCCTTTGTGTCTGCATCCTGCAGTGAGATGCCCCTTGGAGACACTGTCAGAATCACCTTCTGAAACTTGCGAGCTCCAACCCGTGCCTGGCAGTGAAAAAACACCAGCAATCTCTGCAAACCTGGCAAGGGTCTTCACCTCACCCACTTGCTGGAAGGAGCCCCACAGACTCTGTACAGTATCACTCACTTGGATACTTGCCACAAAGGCTCCTGCTGTAGGATGGGACAGCAGAGCCTGGCAATCAGGCATGCCCTGCACAGAACACTCCTCAAATCTGTTCACTCTACTGCCACACACACAGGGAGGGACAGACCCCTCTTCTCCCAGTACTTCACCCTTCTCTCCGTGCTGTGGCAGGCACAGCTCTGCTCACAGCTAGGTTCAGGTGTAGGAGCAGGTGGCTGGGGCTGTGCTGCAGGAAGACAGCTTCCCCACAGCACACAGGCAGACACCAGTGGCCTCCTGCAAGCCACCCTCCTCTTGGGAAGGGCACAGTCCCTCACTGGAGCGCTGGGACGCAGACACTTACTTCCCTGTGCAGGATGGGCTCTGACCCCACACACCAGGGCCCCAGGGTCTCACCGTGGCCACGATCCTGCGGATGGCAGCAGCAGCCATGTCTTCTCCTTTTGGTTTTTCTACCAGCGTCATGCCCAGATACTTGAGGGTGAAGCACATCCCCTCAAGCAGCGGCTCCTGCATGTCAGCCCAGCTCTCAGGAAGCTCTGCAAAGACAAAAGCCCTTAGAAGCCATGTGCCAGCAGCCCCACAGCTAGTCCTGCCACAGCCACCCCACCCATGGCTCCCAGCAGCAGTGTTGCTTCCTGCCCTCAGCAGGACACTCTCCTGGCTCTGTGACACTCTCATAAGAGGAACAGAAAGAGTGGGCAGTTCACCCTTGAAGCTTTAGTTCTCTAGCCCTGGAAGTCCAGGCTCTGTCAGCACTGACAGACAGCTCCTGCTTATGTGCACAGGGCTGAGGATGCTGCAGCCCTCATTGCTGTCTGCAAAAACCTTGTGTTCCTGGGTCTCACCTGTTTCATTACAAACAAAATGTTCTCTGTAGTGCATTCATCTCGGCCATCTGAGTTATGGCACACCTGAAGAGCAGCAGCATTCACTGCCACGCTCAGATCAAAATCCCCAGATTGGCCCAGTGTAAGCAAAGCCAAACCCCTTGGCATCTCATCTGCAGCAGCAGGGTGCCAGGGCAGGGGCAGCTTAGTCAGCACTTGTGGTCCCAGCTGGGATGACTGAGGACCAACTGCACCACAGATGCTTTGTTAAGAAAGAGATGGGAACTGCCAAAGTATGTACTGTTCACGCTAAGCTAATACTTTTCAGGGTTATTTTCACCTCTTCCCTGGGATTTGCTCCCTGAGAATTACTGGCACACTTGCAGAAGGGTTCAACTCATAACTGGAATAATCTGAACCCACAGGGAAATCAGGAGACCTTATTTGCACAGCATACTCTTCCACAAGTGACAACTATCAGGGAGGCTGCCTGGCGCCATGCAGGCACCAGTGACCTCCACCCTGTGCAGTAGAACCCTGTGCCACTCCAAACTCTGAGGACAATCCATGTATACTAGGGCTGCCAGGGCAAGTGCTGGCGCTCCAGCAAAGCCTTGGGAAGCTGACTGAGAACAGCCAAACACAGCCCTCCTGTGCCACAGGGTACCTGCAGCAGGGTCATGGGGTCATGGAATCATGGAACGGTTTGCGTGGGAAAGGACCTTAAAGCTCGTCCAGTTTCACTCCCACAGGCAGGACACCTTCCACTAGACCAGCTTGCTCCAAGTCCCGTCCAACCTAGCCTTGAACGCTTCCAGGGATGTGTCGTGGTTCGGTCTCGGATCCTGCCAGGCCGCAGACAGCGGGGGGGGGGGGGGGGGGGGCTGGCCTGGGACGCTGGCAGAGAGCCAGGCGTGGCAGCCCGAGGAGGTCCCCGGTGCAGTCCAGCGTGTTCCAGCCCTGGCACGGCCGCCCAGGCCCGTCAGCCCCTGGCGCAGGCGACCTCGATTCACAAGTGGGGCAGGAGGCGACAGCCCGGGGAGCGGGGCAGGGAGAGCTCGGCGAGGAGCGGCAGTGCTGCGGTGCCCCGGCCGGCAGCGCTCCGGCCCCTGCGGCCCGACCCGACCCCCCCGCTCCCCTAACCCGACTAACCCGACTAACCCGACTAACCCGACCACCCCTACGGCCCCTCTGCCCGCCCAGGTCCTCCAGGCCCCTCGGACTGCCCTGCAGCAGGCAGGGGCCGTATTCCGAGCCCGACTGCGCCGAGCTGCGGACTCTCTGCCCGGAGCGATGCCCGGCCCCGGCCCCGCACCCGTCCGCACTCACTGCGCCGCCGGCGGAGACCCAGACCGTGCCGGGCGAGGCGCGGGCTCCGCAGCACGGCGCGCCCCGCCGCCCGCAGCGCCTCCATGGCGGAGCCGGGATCGAGCCGAGCCGATCCCTGCCGGTGCGCGGGGGGTCGGTCCCGCCGGCTCGAGCCGAGCCGAGCCGATCCCTGCCGGTTCGCGGGGGGTCGGTCCCGCGGGCTCGAGCCGAGCCTGGCCGATCCCTGCCGGTGCGCGGGGGGTCGGTCCCGCGGGCTCGAGCCGAGCCTGGCCGATCCCTGCCGGTGCGCGGGGGGTCGGTCCCGCGGGCTCGACGCGCTCGCGTCAGCGCGGCGGAGGCGGCGGGGTTGCCACGGCAGCGGGGGCGGAGCGAGGCGGGCTCCGCAGCGGCGGCGGCGGCCGAGCGGGCCCGTGGGACCCTGTGGGACCGGCCCGGGCCCGGGCCCGGACCCGGCGGAGGGCGCGATGCAGCTGCGGCACGTGCGGACCCTGCTGGCCCCGCAGGTCGGACCGGGCCGGCCGAGCCGGGCTGGGCTGGGGGGGATCGGGCCGCGGGAGAGCGGGCCGGGCCAGGCCGGGTCGGGGAGAGCGGCCCTGACCGCTCTGGGGCGCGTAGCGGCGACGCTGAGGCTGTAGTGTGGCTGCTGAGCCGTGTGTGCCCGCTGGGGCTGTTGTGTGCCCGCTAAGCCGTGTGTGCCCGCTGAGCCGTGTGTTCCCGCTGAGCCATGTGTGCCCGCTAGGGCTCGATGTGTGCCCGCTGAGCCGTGTGTGCCCGCTGAGCCGTGTGTGCCCGCTGGGGCTGTTGTGTGCCCGCTAAGCCGTGTGTGCCCGCTGGGGCTGTTGTGTGCCCGCTGAGCCGTGTGTGCCCGCTGGGGCTCGTTGTGTGCCCGCAGGACGGGACGGCGCGGGTGACCTGCATGGCCTGGTCGGCCAGCAGCGCCCGCTTCGCCGTGTGCACCGCGGAGCGTGTGGTGCTGCTCTACGACGAGCAGGGCGAGCGGCGCGACAAGTTCTCCACCAAGCCGGCGGACGCCAAGGTGAGCGGGGCCGGGCAGCGCTGGGCATGGGCCGGGCAGCGCTGGGGCAGCCGCCTCCCCACGGTCACACCGAGCCTCTCCGCAGTACGGCAGGAAGAGCTACGTGGTCAAAGGCATGGCCTTCTCCCCGGACTCCACTAAACTGGCCATCGGGCAGACAGACAACGTTGTCTACGTGTACAGGATCGGCGAGGAGTGGTGAGTATGCAGTGAGGTCCAGCATGCTCCATTCTGCCTTAGCCTGATCCTCACCCTGGCACACGCTGCAGTGCCCATCACCCGGCCCGCAGGGAGCCACACACATGTCCGTGGGGAGCAGCAGGTGAGGTTTCCTCGGCAGGGCCCTTACAGAGCCCAGGCTGTGCATGCAGCTAGCTGGAACCTGTGTTGCCATCATGTGTCACAGCTGTGCAGCAGTGGCACACATCTGCCCCACTGCAGCCTCATTTGCTGGCAGGAGTTGTGCTAACGGTACTCAGAAAGGCAGTTCACCAGGAATTTGGAAGCTCAGACTCTAGGGGTCTTCTTGGTTTTTTGCCCAAAGTTATGATAGACTAGCAGCACACAAGATTTCAATGGACTGGCATTGTTTGGCAATATCAAACCAGACGGTGTATAAACGGTAGGGTGATCAGAATGTGTAGGGTTGCTGATAGTAATTTTTGTTTCTATTTTTCTGCAGGGGTGACAAGAAGGTTATATGCAACAAGTTCATCCAAACGGTGAGACCCAGACTTCTGTTTGACTTCATTTTCTCCAGTATATGTTGGAAAAGACAATGAGAGGTCTCTCTGCTCATACTCACAGGTGTATTTGGCCAAATTGTACTTGACCTTTAAAGATCCTAAGAGAATCTCTAAATTCTGAGGCATGTATTGCTCATCAAGCTCCAGAAGTGTCCTAATGCCTGGGTACAACTGAGTAAATTGTTGAACGATCAATGCAGTCAGTTACAAAACTTTGGGGACTACTTTATGCATCAGTGGACAGACTGTTTTAAGGGAGTTGAAAGGGAAAGATATGCCACACTCAGAGCCCAACTATTTTTCACAGGTTTGCAGCTCTAAACTCCAAGATGCCTTATTAAACAAAATGTAAAGTGTGCAGAATTCAAACTGTGCAGTTTCCACATGCTCAATTGCCTCAGGTTTATGATTTCCGTCAGGTTTGCTCCTTGGCCACCTCTGTGTTCTGCTGCTCTGGCTTGGCCTGCCTGTGTCACAAAGCAGTCTGCCCAGTAGGTGTTTGCCAAGGCTTGCCTTGGAAAAGGCAAAGGTGTTATGAATTCCTTGCACAGAAAGCCATCAGAGTAAGAAAATACAATGCACTGACTACTTCTACCTTCAGAGGCAAAAGTCCAGCAGCTGCCCCAGGCTTTCCAGGCAAGTGCCACATGGTCTCTGTGTCACCAAGAAAGTTCTCTGCAGGGTAGGAGGAATCATCCTTCATGTCCAAATCCCCAGAAGACATAGAGCTGCTCCTGACAGAGTTGCTGGAGTCTGTGCCAGGCTTTCTCAAGCTGTCTCTCATGTGAAGGGTAGCCTCAGCCTCTGGGTTGGGTCATGGCCTGCCACTGTGGCTGCTCTGACTGCTGCGGGGAGCGTGGGGAATTCTGTGGCTCTGTGACAGGAAAGCTGCTGCTCAGCCTCTGTTTTGTATGCAGTTGAGCTGCTGCACTGAGTGGTCATGAGAATAGAGTGTCATGAGGAAAAGAGAGCAACAGGGGCTTGGTGTCCATTTGTCCCTTTGCTGAGCAGGGTGGCTATCCCCGGTGTGGGCACATTGAGCCTCCCTGCAGAGCTCTTTCCTTGTGTTCTGCTTGCTGCCTGCCCCTCCAGCTGCCAACCCCATGGGGGCCTGCTCGCCTCTCACAAGCTCAGATGCTGTGCATGGCACATGTACAGGATTTTGTATTTTTAATATAGAAATTCAGTAATTTTTTCTCCTTTCTCATTTCCCCATGCCTTTTCATAATTTGTAACACATTAAATCCTTTCTTTTTTTCTGATTCTGTATGTCTGGGGTTTTACCACTGTGTCTGGCTTTCTCCTGTAACTAAATACTGTTATTTACAAATTTTTGAAATGTTCAGTCAATATGAGAGGTCATTTATTGAGCCCTTTCCCTCTCCTGCCACTGGGCCCTCTCCCGCTCACAGTGATCCCAGTGTGTGCTCACACTGGCAAGCCAAGCCTCCTGCTGAGGGCCAGGAGGACAAACAATGAGCACATCACCAATGTGTGAGGCTTGTTCCCAAGCTTTTGTTGTGTTAGAATGGAAAATAAGTCTGACAGATAGTGGGGGAAACACACAAAGTCCTGGGAAACAGGGGTAATGAAAATGGGTCTTGGTCATTGGTTGGGCATTTAAATTATGAACAGTTTGGTTACCTTGAGACGTTTTGTTGTCTGATTGTAGCTGTGTTTGCTGATATGAATGATCAGAGCAGGGATGGAAGATGAGATAAATAAATGAGGAATGAATAAATGCTGATATGTATCTTAAGCAGTCCCACATGCTCAAAATGGGACAGAGAGCCAGAGAGGCTGGTGCTGGTGGCTAACACCTGCCAAACACCAGCCCTTCTTACTGACTGAAGTTCTGCAGGGTAGATGTGAAGGGCTTTCCTAAACTTTCTTGGCCCTCTCTCACAGCTGGGTTTTGTGGTCAGCTTTATTCATTCTGACTCCACCTCAGATTCTGAGAATACCTTTGGTTTGGATTTAATGAGCCTGTTTCTACCTGGCCTGCTTGGAGCATCTAATAACCATCTTACTCGTCAGTGAAAAAATAAACACTATTTCTTACTTATCAAATAAAGATCCAGTGGACAAGTATTCTCAGAGCTATTACAGAAGTTGTCACAGTGAAATTATTTTTATATTTTATACTTGTTGCAAAAAGCCTTTTAAAACAGCCATGATTTTATACATGCAGCATGTATGCTTGTATGTGGCAAGCCAAGCACTGCTCAGTAAGTAGTACTCAAAAAGAGCTCCAAACTGAACACATCCCTGTAACTTTTTTGCCCTCCCATAGTCCTCCTGTGCTCAATTACTTTGCCCCAGCTCACTTTACCTAGTTTAAGCTTCAGCATGAAGTAAGGCTTGTCAGCTACTGTAAGGCCTGTCCAAATGCCCCATCTCTCCTGCCTGAACAGTGTCTGTTCATGAATTATTTTAGGTGGCAGTGGGGCAGGAAGCTGGGTAGGGTGGAGCTCTTACCTCTCTTTTTACCTCCTCCTTTGCAGAGTGCTGTGACCTGCTTATTGTGGCCAGCAGAGAATATAATTGTCTTTGGTCTTGCTGAAGGAAAGGTAGAGAAACTTGTTATTTGTGTGACTTTCTTTCCCTTGTGGGGGCTGTCAGGGTCTGCCAGTGGCTGGGCTGAGGGGTAGGAGCCATCACTGGGTGCCCCAGTAACAGCAACAGAGGGATTACACTGTGGACTTGAATTTTCTGGTTCACAGTTAGTCCCTGGAGGTTCTACTGGATCTTTTGGATCTTTCTCCAAACTTTTCTAGAAATGTGGACATGTGACTTCAACTTTTCCACTTCTATAACATACTGGGAGTCAATGAGCTTCCTGTGATTTCTTTTTCTGATAGTAAACAAGGAAACCTCTGGGAGCATTGCTTACACTGGAGGAGATCCACATTCTACTGATGAACTCAGCATTGATCATTTTCTCTTTCTCAGGTTCGTTTAGCAAATACAAAGAACAACAAGTCTTCCACCATCTATGGGACAGATTCCTATGTGGTCTCACTAACTTCCAAGTGAGTGTGGCATTGCTTTGGCCTGCCCTGCTTTGGCTCAGTCTCACACCTGCTGCTGGCTTGGCATAACAGGGACCAGTGTGGCAGCTTGCCAGTGTTCTTTTGCTGTCACTTTGTTGTCAAGATAATAATATACTGTGCTCTCCAGAAGGAATTCCTTCCTAAAAATCTGGTACCTGGCTGTGCCACATGGGCAGTCTGTTGTTCAGACACAGTAGAGGATGAAAGTCTCCATGAGCTTACTTATATTCATTGATGTATTTGAATCTGT